CCAGGCCCGAGACAACCGCCCAGCGTCGCAGAAAGCGGCTCTGGGAGCGGTTCGAGTGCTCCACGCACCTGTTCGCGAGGATGCGGGGGTCCCGAGCCGCCCAGGCGGGAGCCCTGGCCGTCGCGCATGACGGTGCCAGCGGTGGCGTCGCCAGCGCGCGATGTCGATCGCGGTCGTGCTACGCAGGGCGGGAAATAAGGCACGCAATGTTGTTGCGTGATGCGCGGCGTGGTGGTGGCGTATTGGCGGCGCACGTGCTATGTGGCTGGTCGCACTGGCGCCTGGCGGCCGTCAAGCGCGCCTCGTGGCGCCCGGAGCCCCCTGGAGGCCCCCGTCGGGCCCTGCGTCATGGGCGGGTGGCGTTTGCCGCGCGCAGAGCGGTCTGGAGGGGGCGCGGGCGCGACGAGCGCGGGCAGTAGCGCGCTGCGGCGGTCGATCCGGGCGGAACGAGGGATGGGCGCGGCCCGTGGAGGCAGGGCGCCTTGATGGCGGGCGGCAGAGCGTCGAGGGGCGGTGTTGGGCCGGTGCGGCGACGGTGGGCTGGAGCTTGGGGGGCGCGGTGCGTTGAGATACGTAGGGTGTACACGGACACACGCCGGGGGGCCGCTGGGATCACACGCACGCGCGCCATGAAGCAGTTGATGCATCGCTGCTGCTTGCCGTCGGCCCTCTCGTCGCTGTCCCAACGCGGCTTGACCAGTTCTTCCCCGTCAAGGAGCCAGTAATCGAAGTCACTCGCGGCACATCCCCCCAACTGCCGTGAGCTGGCTGCACGGGCCGGACGTCCAGGCTCATGACGGCATCATCGTCACCACGACACCGCGGGCCAGCGGTTGATGCACGTGCGCCACAACGACAACACGTGCTCGATGTACGCCGGCACAGCCGCAACTGCCCCCAGCCGGTGAGCATGTCATCGTCGACCGGCTGGAGGCAGTTTCCGTTCGTTGCCGACGTGCATTGAGCACGTGTTGTCGCTGGGGCACGTGCGCATCGACCGCTCGCCCGCGGTGACGACGACGTCGGTTTCGTCCGCGGCCTTGTAGGTCAGGTCCTTAACGCCGGCCCGTGCGGCCAGCGCGATGTCGCGGGACCCGTCGGTCAGCGGCTCCCGCACCGCCCCCGACGATGACGCGCACCTCCATCCCAGCGTCACCGGCACCAGCCCGTGCCGCGGCGGGTGCGCCCACGACAGGGCAGCAAGGCTCCGCCGACGCCAGCGCCAGCGCCGCGGCTGCGATGGACGCGGGGCTGCGGCTGTCAAGGCCCGCCAGCACCGACTGCCAACACACGCCGCGGTGTGCCGCCCCCTTCATTTTTGTGATCTTCGTACGTGTCTTGGTCAGCCCCTCGAGTCTGGCGCGAGACGCCCCCCCACCCGGCACTGGCGCCGCTTCCGCAGTCGACAAGGTACTGCTAGTCGACGGCGTACCGACAGGACCAGCAGCGGCTTTGGCTGCCGCGGGCGCGCCACCGACGTGCCCGCTCGGGCCCGCATGCACCGCGGTAGCTGCGGGCGTCCCTGACGTGTCGATGTCCATCGCTTTGCCCCGGGCCTGCGACGAACAGGGAGCAGGTGGACGATCGTGGATGAAGCTCGACCGCGCCGTGAGCGCACGTTCCACGATGCAGCATGTCATGTCGCGGAAGTCACCTGCGCGACGGGCGGCGGCGCCCGGCCGGAGAAACCCAAGCCGGTGAGCTTCCTGATTCCGCGCCCCCGGCCTCTCTGTTTGGCGAGTTGGGGGAGTGCCATCGCGTGTACTGCGTCCACAGCAATCCGACAGACACATACGATCGGACTCCGGCTCGGGCCTTCCGGCGCGAGCTCGACGCGGACTGTTGGCATCAATGAATGCAGTCCGCCGTCTCAGCAAGGACGCGGTGCGGGGAGCTGGGTGATCAGCAGTCCGCGAGCCTCAAGTACTGACCATCGCCTCGACATCTCGGTTCGCAACGGAACGGCAGCCAAGCAACGCAACGCGAAAGGGTGTGCTCAGGAGGCCAGTTGGCGAGAGCTCCGTCACGATGACTTCTAAGCGCAGGAACTCGTCGTGAATAATCTCAGAGATCGTACAGAAATACCATCGAGGGCCAATTCAAGTTCCTGTAGCGACGTATCTGCGCGGAATGCGAACCGATCAAAGTGGCAGCAACGAAAGAGTCGGAGCTCACCTCGGCGCCACGAAAAATTGTTCGAGGCGTTTGTGGCCCGAGACGCCAAGCTTCGACCAAGTTCCTCCGGGACGGCGTTGAAGCGGACTTCACTCTCGTCCAGAGAAGGAGGAATCGCCGATGAGAGGCAATCAAGGTGCACACCACGTGTCACCGCTCCCAAACGCAAGATCGGGCTGCGACGCGTGACCAAGAGGACCGACTATCATGCCACAAGGATCGGAGTGCCCCGTGGGCCGCCCGCGTCGCGGCATGAGCTCGCGGGGACGGACCGACTCGGTGCGCGGGAGTCCCCCCGCACGCGTTTGACGCGCCCTCCCATCGGGCGGCGCCCGCAGTGGTGCTCCCACACCGCGCACGGCGCGCTGCCGCAACTCCTCGGCGGCGCCCGTCACGTCGCGCGACGCTGCGTGAGAAAGGCAGGGGAGAGCTGGGTGGCCTGCAGGACCCTCTCAGGCGCTCCGCTGGCAACGAGGCGACCAAGGACAGGAACCTACGAGTCACCGTACGCTCGTGGAAGGCTCGGGTGCGTCAGCGGCGACGTCGCTCGACCGCAAGGAGAGCGCTTGCACAGCTGCAGAACGCGCTCCCTCTCGGCGGCGCGCGTCTGCGTGGACGGTGTTTGTGCTCGCTCATCGCACGCGACGCAACCTCTGTGAGCCTCGCGCAGCGCTGGCTGCCCCTTGCTGCCGCGCACGACCGCGTAGCACGCACCTGCTTGCTTGCTGTCGACCTGGCGGCGGCGGCTGTGCCCGCACGACGCCGCGACGCAGGAAGCCCGGAGCCCTCCTCCTCGCCTGCGCCGCGACCAGATCGCAAGCAGCGCCGCGCGGCCAGACCGACACCCCCCGCGGTCCGCAAATGACGTGGCCGCGCCCGACGTGCTAGCGGCGGCTCTGCGTCCCCCCCGCGTCACGCGCGCGCCGCTCCCAGTGCCCGCGCCCACCGCACGCGCGCCCAGCGTCGTCGCGCACCGCCTCCGCCGCCTGCACGGTCGGACTGACCGTGGTGACTGTCCAGTTTCCGCGGCTGACTGCCGCTGCCACGGCTGCGGCGCGGGCGTTTTCGCCTGCATCGGCGACTAGTCTCGGCCGAGTCCAGCGGAACAACGTCTTGCCACGCTGCTTAGGCGCTCCGCGCTCCGCGCAGAGCGTCAGAGCAAGAGATGCCGAGCGCTGTCCCTCGTGACGCCCGCTCAGAGGACGAAGCGAGGCGTCGTGCGCGCACCGACGTGAGCGTTCCACAGGCTTTCGCGATGACGGAGGAGGAGCGTGCGCCGTGGCTCGCCGAGGAGGAGGGAGGCAGCGACGACGAGGAGGAGGAGCACGTCCCAGGCGAGCGCTACCTCACAGAGGGCGCTCTCCGTGCTCTCGTACGCCTGGTGCACACCCATGGTGCACGGGTACGCTCCTGCCCGATCCGTTTCTCTCCGTCTCGCGTCCGGTGAGTGCGGAACCGCCCTGCAACAGCTCGAGGGTCCAGCATGCAGCACGCTCTCGTTGAGCGCAGGACTGGGACATACTCGCCACCCACATCAGCAAGGAGCCCCGCGCCGACCGGGCCGAGGTCACCGTCGACGGAAACGACGGCCAGGCGCGCCTGTACACGGCGCAGCAAGTGCGGCGCGCCTGGGCTGTGCTCACGGCCCCGGTCCGGGCGATGCCGGGCACGAAGGAGGCCGCGGCCGCGCCGAAGAACCCGTTCTTGCCCACGTGGTACTCGATCGAGGACAAGTGCCTGCTCGCGCAGCTGAACGCCGTCCTGGTCGCTCCCAGCCAGCAGGGGCGCCCGCAGGTCAAGTCCGTCGAGGACCTCGACTGGCAGGGGATCGCGGACAGGATGAACCGCCAGGTGGCTCGGCAGCTCAAGGAGAATGGTCTCGACGGGCAGCACCCGCCGCGGTCCGCCGCGGCCGTGCGCGAGCGCGCGTGTTTCGCCCTGGACGCCACGCACCCCTGGCTGGCGCACGAGGCAACGAGCTCTTCGACGATAGGCTGATCTGTGACGACGTTCAGGGAATCTCGCGCGGTCTGTGGAGGAGATCGGACCTCGGATGGAAGAGCCTCGCGCCACACGACGTGGCTGGCGTCTTCAAAAGCATGGAACGAGGCTTCTTACGAGCGAACAACAAAGAGATTGATCTCATCGGCCGCGCCGGGACGCGCAGGACGCGGGCACAGATGCGCGTGGGCGGCCACGGCGCCTCGGCCGAGGGCGCTTGGTGCCGTGGTAGCATGCAATCTGCGCTGCGCTAATCGGCAGCTACGAGAGGCTGCATCGCAGTGCTGCGCTGACGAAAACACTCAGAGGACCGAACCTGCGGCTTACATGCTTTGTAGCGCCCGCGTTGGGCGCGACAGCGTACGTCCCGCGCAGAGCCGAACCGCAGCGTGCAGCGAGGCGGAGGCGGGAAGTGTGTCGCGTGCGCACCGTCGCGCTGGGCTGTTCTGCTGGAACGCGCCCCGCCGCCGCGCTCTCGTCAGGACAGGAAAATCGGCTCCTCGAAACAAGGGTGCTCGAAATCATACAGGACGCCAGAACACACCCCCATCCTCTTCGGCAGGCGCAGGTTGCTTCGTTCCACGTCCCACGCCTTCAGCCGCGCGGCCGCGTCCGGGCCCATGTCGTCGTCGAGCCGCTCGCACCCGCTCACGTCCAGCTCCTCCAGCGCCGCCAGACCCCGAGGGAGCTTCTGCAACACGCTCTCGCGTGCGTGGAGCACCCGCAGCTGCGCAGCGCTCGACGGCGGGACGAAGCCCTCCTTGGCGAGCTGCTTGCAGCGGACGACGCGCAGCTTCTCGAGCGCCCGCATGCCGGGCGGCAGCCTCGCCAGAGAGCTGCCCTCAGCGTTCAGCTCGGTGATGCGGCCCGCGCTTGAAGCGGGCAGGAAGTCCGCGACCAGCGGGCAGGCTTCCAGGTACAGCAGCTCGAGCGCCGGCATGTCCTTCGGGATGCGGCTGACCGAGCTGTTGCTTGCCTGAATCGCCCGCAGCCTCTCGCGGGAGGACCAAGGCAGCCAGTCGTCGCCGTCCAGGAGCGCATCGCACCACCTGATCCGCAGCTCCTCCAGCGCCGGCATGTTGTCGGGGACCCGCCGCACCAATGTTTGGGAAGCGTCCAGCTGGCGCAGCCTCGCCCTGCTGCTCTCCGGCAGAAACCCGTCCACGTCGAGGTTCTTGCACAGGGACAAGTCCAGCTTCTCCAGCGCCACCAGGCCCGCAGGGAGCCTCTCCACATCGGCGCCGTTGAGTGTCAGGTTGCGCAGCCTCGACACGCTCGAGCAGGGCAGGAAGGAGTCTGACAGGCCAAACGAGTCGGTCATCTGCAGGAGCTCCAGCTCCGGCATGTCGGGCAGCCGCCGAATCTCCATGCTCCGCGCGTAGAGCGACTGCAGTTGCGCGCAGCTCGTCGCCGGCAGCAATTCGTCGGGGTTGAGATCTGAACAACTCGACACCTCAAGGTAGTCCAGCTTCGCCATTCCCGGTGGAATGCACCGCACGTCGGAGCCACGAATGCACAGCGTCGTGATGCCGGCTGCGACGTTCTCCGGAAGCCAGTTGTCGCAGTCCCCGACCTCCCGCAGCACGCGCGCTTCCACCCAGCGCAGCCCCGTCATGTCCGGCGTGATCGACGAAGGCCGCAAGATCTGCAGATCCAGCTCATGAGTCGCGGGTCGGCCAATGAGCTCGACGCAGCTCGGGTCCTGCGCGTCGCTGCCCGTCCGCCGGTAAAACGAAATGCCCCCGTGGTGCTCCGGCCACCCCACGAACGCTGCAGTGTCCCGCGGCACCTCCCCCCTCAGCTTCTCGTGCACCTGCACGCCGACCTCTTCGCGCGTCGCAGTCCAGCACGCTGTCTCGCAGCTCTCCAGCACCGCCGCCATCGACGTCGACGACGCAGCGGCGAACGCGGCGCGGTCGCGGTGCGGGAGCTGGCCGATGATCACGGCCCGGAGACCAGCCGGGAGATCGTCAAGGCGCGCGTCCCTGCACCTGCGGCCATTGTGAGGCAGTACACGTGTGCGTGAGTCGTCCTGCACAGAACAAACAACAACAGCCTGTGCTGCGGCATGTCAAACGACCCGCGCTGAGCCGTGCTGGCTGCTCACCTCATCGTGCTACACGCGTCGAGCACGTGGCCCGGCGTCCGCCTCCGTGGCTGGTCCGCCACCTGCACGAGGTTGCACGCGAGCGCTTGCTTTGGTGTGGTGTCGCTCCGCCTGCGACGACCCCGCCCTGCAGGACCGCTCACCGCATCGATAGGCCCGTGCTGTACGCGAGGCGCCCGAGCCGCCGCACGAAGGGGCCCGATGCGAGCTCGGAGCCGTCCATGCATTGTGCAACACACCTGAGCGAAGTTTCGGGCTTGTGTGGATTGTCGCGGCGTAGCTGTCGCGCTTGAGCCCGCCTCCGATGTAGTGCCGACTTGTTGCGCGCAGAGAATCGCGCGTGCTGGTTCCGCGGGCGCTCACTCCCGGCCCCGGTCACCTCCTCCTGGTGTCGAGGTGCGTCGCGCTGAGCGTCGCGCTGTGCGTGATGGACGCCGCACCGCTCAGACCGGACAGCCGAGCGTATGGTCAGCTCGCTCCGCTGCAGGGCGCGCCTTGCCTTAGCCTCGCTCTCCCCGCGGGGCTGCAAGAGAGCATCGCGTACAACCGCAGAGAATCAGCAGGGCCTGCCGTCGCATTGCGACGTTAGGGACGCATCATCGGCACGCTGACGCATCTTTGACACATAGATACGCACAGGAGCAGCCTCGACACGCCCGAGCGCGATCGCACCTGTCTCTGCGGGAGCCTCGACTCCACTTCCCGCCTACGGTCGCGCGCGTGCCTGCCGAGCTGCCGACCGCCTCCTCCACTCCGCCACTCCCACCGCGCGGCGCCTGCGAGTGACCTCGTCGCCACGTGCGGGCGAGCGATGTGCCCGGCGCCCCAAAATCATAGGTCCGACCAGGTCCAGGAGACCCCTGGGGCCTAATTAACTTTCTCGCCGTAACACGTGCCACCGGCTGGACGGCACGAGGGGTTTGCGCCGGCGCCCGCCCCCCGCTGCTGCGCGGCGGCCGCGAGCGCGAGGCCCACTCGGCAGGCTGCGTCGGTTGCGTTGCGCTGTACGTGTTCGTGGCGCCGCTGGCCGGGGGCGCGGAAACGCCGTACCGCGTCGCGCCGCGCGTCGGTCGCCCCGGGATGCGCAGGACGCGGGCGCAGAGGGGCGTGGGCGGCCACGGCGGGGTCGACCGAGGGTGTTTGGTGCCGCGGTGGCATGTAATCGCCCCAGGGACCCCCCAAAACGCTCCTGCGCGTTTCAGGGACCCAGCAGGACGCAGACATGGGCGCAAAAAGGGTCACGGCTCGTCCGCTTTGCCAGCGTTGCGGTTGCGGGGGCCTCGCGCTGGCGGCAGGTTGCGTTACGTTGCGCTGCACGTCGTCGGCGTCCTGGCGCCCCCGTCGAGCGGGCGGCGCTGCGGAGCGGCACCAGGGGCGCGGGCAGGTAGCGGGAGAGTGCAGTGGACGGCGAGTCAGTCGACAACTTCGCGCTGGAGGCAGAGGGACGGACAGACGGGCGCAGACTCACACGTCTCACAGCGCGGCTGGCTACTGGATGTCTGTTCGTTTCTTGATGAGACCCAGGACCTCGAATTGCGACGCAGCGTGCTCCTGCCCGGTTCCCTGGCGACAGCGGGCCCGTGCGAGCTCGCCGTGCTTCTCCACGAGCTGCACGTTGCTCAGCAGCCCGAAGCTGGGCTTCAGGTCGCCGGGCCGCGTCAGGTCCTTCAGGCCCTGCTTGTGGGCACGGTCGATCGCCATGGCCACAAGCAGGGCCTGTCAGACCCGACGAAGCCCGACGACCTGAAGCGCAGCTACGGGCAGTTAAGCAACGTGCAGCTCCGGCTCGCGGAGAGGCACGGCAAGCTCGCACGGGCCCTTCCTTGACTTCGACTACCTTCATTAATGGATTCTCTAGACTGCAGCGACGTCAGCATCGGGCGCACGCCATCGCAGAAAGTGGCTCCGGGAGTGGTTCGAGTGCTCCACGCACTTGTTCGCGAGGATGCGGGGGTCCCGCGCCGCCCGGACGGGAGCCCTGGCCGTCGCTCATGACGGTGCCAGCGTAAGCGTCGCCAGCGCGCGATGTCGACCGCGGTCTTGCTGCGCGGGGCGCCAGATTGGCCGCCTGTAGGTGAGAGAATGTTGTTGCGTGATGTGCGGCGTGGTGGCGGCGTATTGGCGGCGCGTATCAGGATGTGGCTGGTCGCACTGGCGCCTGGCGGCCGTCCGGCACGCCTCATGGCGCCCGGAGCCCCCTGGAGCCCCCCGTCGGGCCCTGCGTCGTGTCGGTGGGGCCTCATGAGCGGGGGGCGTGTGCCGCGCCCAGAGCGGGCTGGAGGGGGCGCGGGCGCGGTTTGTGCGGCCAGTGGTGCACTGCGGCGGTCGATCCGGGCGGCACGAGGGCTGGGCGCGGCCAGCAGAGGCGCGGTAGGGCGCCTTGATGGCGGGCAGCGGGAGAGCGTCGAGGGGCGCTGTTGGGCCGGTGCGGCGACGGTGGGCTGGAGGCGGCGGTGCGCGATGCGTTGATATACGTGGGGGAGACAAGGGCAGACGCCACAAGGCCGCTCGGACCACGCATACGCGCGCTGGACGGCACCGGAGAGCACAGCGGAAGGACAGCGGGTCGCCAGGCGTGCGCTGAGGTCGGACGGGCGGAGATGGCGGCAGCGCCGGCTGTGCTGAGTACGTGCGCGCCGGCGGGGCACCGCCGCGGGGTCCTCGGGGTCCGCTCATGCCGCACGTGCGCGTGCTTGTGGTCCCAGGGGCTTGCACTGGCGATGTGTGGTGCGAAGCTGGCCCGGCCGAGCAGCGGGAGGGGGCTCGGAGCATCATCGCGGACGCAGTGTTGAGCGCAGGGCACGGTGGGCAGTAGGCGCGGTCCCGGGTCGACGCAGGAACAACCGTAACACAACGATGATCGACGGCGTTGTGCGACGTCGTCGTGTGACAGCCAGGCGATGCGTGAGTCGTCGATCGCGAGCATTGCTCCCTGCGTCGCCTCGTGCCGATCTGCGCGCCCTGCGCGGACTGGACCGCGCTGGTTGACCCCCTCCCCCAACGTCACAAGCGTCGCTTGCGGGTTGACGACGATGCGCGGGAGACGCGCTGCCCCCCGCTCGCGCGCCGGCCCTCCCGAGAGAGGCGCAGTGGTGCGGGGGCCAGCGTTGCGGTCGCAAGGGCCTCGCGCTGGCGGCAGGCTGCGTTACGTTGCGCTGTACGTTGTCGGCGTCCTGGCGCCCCCGTCGAGCGGGCGGCGCTGCGGGGCGGCACCAGGGGCGCGGGCAGGTCGCGGAAGAGTGCAGCAGATGGCGAGACAGCGGTTGCGCGCGCGAGGCCCGCGCTGCAGGCCATCGAGGATTGCGCCGCGCGGCATGACGTGTTCGTCGCGGCGCTGGCAACCGGCCGGCGACACAGCAGCGCCGTCGCGCGTCGTGCCGCACATCGGCCGTGCAGGATCGCGCAGGACGCGGGCGCGGAAGCGCATGGGCGGCCACGGCGGCGGGGCCACAGGTGTCGGGTGGTTTGTGATTCGCTGACCTGCGCTGGTGTCGAACAGATGTCCAGACAGACAGACAGACAGACATTCACAGACCGGGAGGGCTAGGGACCCGCGGAGTGCTCGATTGCGTTCCCGGGACGCAGCAAAGCACCGATGCGGACACAGAGGAACCCCAACGATGCGGGCAGCAGCGAAGAAGCCCGCGAGCTCGCGCCCTCGAGGGTCTCCTGCACCTTCGCGGGGCGGGAGTGGAGGGGGGCGCAGCGGCGGCAGCGAGAGCGGCCTCGCACGTGGCATGATCAGCGACGCACCTGTCCCGAGGGTTGTCGCGCTCCTTGGACCGCGGCTTGTAGCCGCGCTTGCTTCTGGCCTGAACGGCGAGGCAGACCTTGTGGCAGCTGATGCACCGCCGCACGCCGTCGTCCCCCTCTTGGCTGTCCCAGCGCAGCTCGAGCAGGGGCTTACCGTCCCGGTAGCGGTACTCGAAGTCGTGCGCCGCGCACTCCTTGATGCAGCGGCAGTTCATCTGCCGTCACTCCTTGAAAGATCTCGTCCTCGAGGTGCAGTTTGTCGTCCCTGCCCTCCCTCAGGGCGTAGTCTGGCACGTGCTGGTGGTCGTGGTTGTTGCCCGGAATACATCGATGTATTTCATATGTGGCACACATCGATGTATTCCGGGAAACAACCACAAGCACCAGTACGTCCCGGACTATGCCCTGAGGCCGGGCAAGGAAGACAGACTGCACATCAGCGACAAGATCTTCCAGGCGTGGCGGCAGATGAACTGCTGCTGCGTGGAGGAGTGCGCAGCGCCTGACTACGAGTACTGCTTCATGCACGGGCGCCCGCTCATCGAGATGCGCTGGGACAGCGGCCCGGGGGGCGCCGGGATGCGGCGGTGCACGCGCTGCCACAAGATCTGGATCGTGGCCCAGGCCAGGAGCGAGGGCAGGGGGGGGCCGCGGGGCCAGGGAGCGAGGACCCTGGAGACGGCACCGAAGCAGACCAAGCCGAGACGGGCCTTGCGCGAGAAGCCAGGCCCGCAACAACGGCCCAGCGTCGCAGGAAGCGGCTCTGGGAGCGGTTTGAGTGCTCCACGCACCTGTTCGCGAGGATGCGGGGCTCCCGCGCCGCCCGGACGAGAGGCCTGGCCGTCGCTCATGACGGTGCCAGCGGTGGCGTCGCCAGCGCGCGATGTCGACCGCGGTCGTGCTGCGCGGGGCGCCAGATTGGCCGCCTGTAGGTGAGAGAATGTTGTTGCGTGATGCGCGGCGTGGTGGCGGCGTATTGGCCGCGCGTATCAGGATGTGGCTGGTCGCACTGGTGCCTGGCG